CTAGGGAACGACTCACCGGTCCCCCTCAGTCACTGCTCTGGTGTGCAGTGGCAGTATTTGCAAATCTTTCTCTTAACTGGGGGCAGTCTCACTTCCAATGGCCTACCTGCAAGCAATTGGAACATTGATTCGGTCCTATTCTGGTGGGCTGGGGCTTGAATCCCCCTCTCCCCCTCATAGGGTAGCCACGACCTTTACCCCTGGCATTTGTGTCTGGGAACTTTGTGTTTTGGGCTGCCACTGCTACTGCTACGACTCAAGCAATTCTTTTATCTTCTCTTTTTTTCTCTTCTTTTTCTCTGTTGTTGTATACCTCCCAGGCCTCATTCATCAATGTCTCTAAATCTCTGTTTGCTGGATGCTTAAGTTTTTGTGATTTCTTTCTAATGTCGGGAGTACACTGTCCCATTACTAACCCTAGCAGTTGTTGCCTCCCTTCTTCTGATGCCGGGTCTAGGGGTGTATATTGTCTCATGGCGGTTCTGAGTCTGTCCAGAAATTCTGAGGGGGTTTCATCTTTTCCCTGTCTAACATCATACAGGGCTGCCCAGTTAATGACTTTAGGTATTGCATTTCGCAGACCTAATGCTATTAGCTTCCTGTATTGCACTAACCGCTCATATTGAACTGGATTGTTCGGATCCCAATCTGGAAAACTGCTTGGAAATACTACATCTAACTCTTCGGGCAATAAGGTGGCATGATCTCTCCCTGTTCTTAATACAAGTTCCTTCTCTGTTTCTGTTAATTCTGATAACATTACCTCTATATCGTCCCAGTCAATGTCTTGGTTCTTTGCTAATAATTCGAACCTCCTAGCTACCCCCTCTGGATTTTTCCTAAAATTTTTTGCTTCTTCTCTCCAGCTGTTCAAATCACTTGTCGTAAATGGTACTTTTATTCGTCCCTGCTCTCCTGCAATGGGCATTATCCGTCGAAGGGGAGCTATTGTATAACTTCCCTCGACCCTCTCTTTTGCTTCCTTTTGTGCTACAGACCTGGTATAGTGTGGGTGACTAGTCCCTTCCCCGGGGTCTTTCTCCTGGGCCTCGGTGTCCATTCTATTCTTTCTCTTTTCTTTTCTCTTTCCTCGTTTCTGTTCTTCGTCCTCGCTCCCCATTCCTGCCCAATCATCCTCTGCCAACCCCCTGGCATGGTTCACGCAGTCCAACTGCCTCTCTCTCTGGATTTGGAGGAGATGCTGTTGACGCTCAACCTGCCCGGGGCTGCACTCCTCATCTTCCTCTATTCCTCTAGTATCCCTTTTATCATCTATTTGAATTACTATGTTTAATCTTTGTGGGCTGTTTTCCTTTTCCTCCTGAGTTACAGTGTCACTATCTTCCTCACTACATCTTATCCTGGGGAAATTACCCTTCCTTTCGTTGCCCCCTGATCTCAGTGGGCTACTTTCGTCCTCATAATTTTCAACTCTTGGTGTGCTACTTTCTACTCTACAGATGCCTGATCTCCATGCGCTATCTTCATTTCTTGGTGTACTGCTATCTCTATTTCTGCTGTCTTTTGATTTAAGTGGACTACTCTCTTCCCCATGACCCTCCGGTCTTGTCGGGCTACTCTCTCCCTTATCGATCTCTGACCTGGGTGGACTGCCCTCCTCTCTGTAACTTCCTGACCCCTGTGGACTACTCAGTCCCTGCGAGCCACTTTCTCCTTGGCGACTCTCTGATTTTGATGGGCTACTTTCTTCCCAACTGTTTTCTGATTTTTGAGGACTATACCCGGTCTTAAATCCCCCCAGTTCCAGTGAAATATCTCCTAATAGGCTAGTGTCTCTTTCACCCTCTCTCCGTTTTGGTGGCGGCACCCCGTATCCTGGCGCATATGGTTGATACTCCCACAGGCTTACTTCACTTTCTTTTTCACTGTCCCTTCTTTTTAGTTTAAGACACTGCTGTCTGATACTACAGGCATCACAACAGCGCTCTTTTGGTCTCAGATTTTTCTTATCTTTTTCCAAAGCTAAGACCAAAGGATCTTGTGGTGCGACATTTACTCCACATTCCCTCTGCCATTCAGGCTTGTTTCTTAGCGTAAAAAACATATCGCAATACATCACTTCATCCCACTTGCCTAGTCGACGAAGGAACAACATAACCTGTAAAATAGTGTTGTAGTTTGTTGTCCCTTCAGGTGGCCATTTTTCGTCATCATCTAGTTTATACAGAGACCACCATTGCATGCAGTATTTTAAGAGTGTCTTTTTGCTTATGTTTCCTCCTGGGGTTCCTCCTAGATCTCTCCAATGCTTTAAAATGCATCCTAAAGGGGTTTTCATATTTATGTCTTTACTTTACTGGCTTCCCATTATTCTTATAGGGACTTAATTATGTGGCAATAATAAGGTTTTATGGAAGGTGACGGGGTTTACCAGGCTAGGGTGTCTTACCAGATCTTCCTATTATTCGAGCATAGGTAATATACCAACTAACCCAGGGATCGTGTTTCCAGACCGGTGCCCAATTAAGGAAATCTTCTACTACTAGAGGGTCGTATCCCAACCTTCCACTTTCTTTTTCTAATTTTCCTATGAACTCACTTATGTGATACTCTATTATATCAAGCAATTCTTGTCTCTGGATTTGTGCTTCTATGTCTAGCTGGGTTAGACTTCCACCAATATGTTCTAACTGAGTAGCTTTCGGTATGTTAGTGAACTGTACTTTAAACTGCAGCACCTTTCTTATTCTATTCCACTGCCTCAAGGTATTCTTTACTTTGTTTCAGCACTTCATGTACACAATTTTCCAGTCACTTCGTCCGTTTCTGACCTGCCTCCTCGCGGAGAACAGGAACCGCAGAACGGGACTCCTCACTCGCTCCGCAGCGATGCTGTGTCTCAGTCACACTCATACATGCTTGCATGCTTGATATAAAAACTTTCCTACCTTCTGGTTTCTATCTGAGCAATTTACGTCACCAAGCAAGGTCACGAGATGGCGCCGCAGACCGTGAAATACAGGTTTGCTGTTGGCTGTCCGATCTATGTTACAAAATCACAGGATGTCACTGCAAACTATAAAACACACTTCTTACAGAAGATGCAACCAAGATGTTACAAATACTTGACTATGAGTGTGGCGGCAATAGAATCTTACCCACTTGGTTTCTGCTAGATCTTGATTCGACCAGCAGCGTATACAATAGAAACTAAGGGTCCGATTGAGCACTATCTCTTGTGTTCCTCTCGGACCCAAAATATATTTTCCACAATTGTTACACAAGGCTCTAACATACAGTGAACAATAACAGAAAGGACAAATTTTAATCCTAGGATTTAGGCACGCTGGCAAAAGCTTATTCACTTTTACAGAACCGAGATTGCAATCATTTCCCATGTAGGGCTGTAAGACGTCTTACGAAATGCACTATTTTACAAAAACATTTTACAAAGCAATATATAATTCCCAGAAGATGAACAAACCACTACGAACAGTGATTAAAATGTCACTAATGATATAACTCTTTCTGTACCTTTAAGTCTCAAATAGCATGTTATAGTTTCTTTTACTTGCTAACATAAACCAGTGTAGTTCGTAAGAGAGACTCTCAATATATCATTCCTAACTGCTGCATTCCAGGAATTCTCCAATAGTACAAGGAGTTCCCTGGGTCCTAAAGCCCCTAGAAGCACTCCCAAATCTTTGAGCAGTCCCAGAAAAGTTAAAAATCATCAGTTTCTCAAATCTCTAAGTCAAACACACCTTTAAATGTATCACTAGACAAGATCTTACACAAAACAGAAAGTGAACAAGGGAAATCAGAGTAAGAACACGTTCAAACAAGACACAAAAATATAAAAGGTGAATACAGCATCACAAAGTAAAGACAATTTTATACTGCAGTGTCGGGACTTTAACCCGATCAGGGAATCCCCTTCTGGGGTTCTCCTGGCCGGACTTTAACCTGCTAGCAGGACTTTAACCTACTTCTTTCAGTACCTGGGACTCTAACCCAGTTGGGATTAATGTCAAGGCGTCCCCCGGCTTCCCTTCGGGCGGTAAGTCTTACCCCCGCTAATAAAGCGCTTTGACCTAAAATATAAAAGAACAAATACCTCTTAATTTGGAGCAGGAGGTTCTTGTCCACCGGCGCGCATAGAACCAAGGGGTCTGGGAGACTCTGCCGACAAAAATTCAGTCGGGGGCCCTGAGAGCGTCCCGGCCCCTTGGGTCTTGGCTCAGGAAGACCCTCTTCCTCCTGCCTGGCTCGCCAAAAATGATGCCAATTTGTACCCCAAAGAAGACGTGGAAGAACTGCTCAGAGACAGAGTTTTCAGTCTATAAGCAGGAGGTATTTATTTTACAACCGGGGAGCAACCAGGTCGTCCTGGACACACTGCTCCGCTCGAGAAACTTACAATTGAGCTTTTTATACACTTTTTGCCAAGCAGTTACATCACATATTATGAATATTCATTATCTTGCAACATCTACTTTTAATATTCATAACAGGCAGAGTCGAGGCGGAGTTTGAGGCATGGTCTCTAATTTGGGGAGAACTTCGGTGGTCTTTCCTGTCTTTCTTCATCATGAACTCAGTGTCCTTTCATCATCATCTTCATAAACTTTTGAACCTTCCCTAATTTGGGTAGTTTCCTTGTGCATTTGGCAGGGATTTTCAGTATCTGGCAAGAGTACCTGATTTCTTGGCTTGTCCCTTTTCTTATCTTCCTTTGTTTTTCTTCCATATGTCCTTTTTTGTGTGTGCTAGCATTTTGTTTCTTTCTGTTCATGCTTATGTTCTCTCATGTCAGTGTCCTGTATTCTAGTGAATTTATTGCCTCCGCTATTTCTTAATACTAAGTTCTCTATGCCTTGTTTAAAGCCTGCATTTTGTGTTTAACTCTCTCTAATCCTTACATTGCTCTACTAAATTCGCTTTCCAGGTTTTACCTGGCTTCACAACCAGGCAAACTGAGGAGAGCAGCCAGATGACCAGGTCGAGAGCAAAACAACCTCAAAGTTTTTCCAATGCACACACACACCTTGCCTCCATTAAGGCAGAAAGAAAAGTGCCGCTTTCCAAGGAGAGGAGGGGAGTAAAACTCCCCACCCCCTACTCAGCCCCAGAGAGGGTTATCAGGCTGGAATGTAGTTCTGCCTGCCAGCTCCTTTGCGTAGATAATCATCCAAGGCAGAAAACTGTCCTCTCCATTCAACATCCCTCCCCCACATGGAGCAGGGGAAAGAAAAATTCCCGTTTGGTTTTTTAGAACAAGTAAACCCATGACACTGAATGAGAAAAATGGCCAATATTTTATATCAACACATGGATGGTGGCAAATGCTCTGTGGGGGTGGCTACAGCAATAGAAGTGGAGCAACTGGTAGTGCAGAGGTAAACTGATCTGGGCTGCTGAACTGTGTCAAGATATTGCTGCCAGGGTAGAGAACCTGGTTGTAAAAGCATGTCACATAGATGCTCACATACCCTGGAGTTGTGCCACTGAAGAACATTGATACAACAGGCAAGTAGAATAAACTGATAGAATTGAAGTGGCTCAAGTGGATCTGGAATGGGAACATAAGGGCAAACTTTATAGTATGATGGGTCCATGTGGTGGGTTGATCTTGGCTGGATGCCAGATGCACACCAAAGCCACTATATCACTCCTGTCCTCAACTGGGCAGGGGAGAGAAAATATATAAAGGTTCATGGGTTGAGATAAGGACAGGAAGAGATAATGGGCAAAACAGACTCAACTTGGGGAAATTAAATCTATTTATTGACAGTTAATAACAGAGTAGGATAATGAGAAGTAAAACCAAATCTTAAAAACATGTCCCCCCTGCTCTTTCCTCCTAACTGTGCTCAACTTTATTCCTAATTGTCTACTTCTTCTCCCCCAGCAGCGCAGGAGGATGGGGAATAGAGATTACAGTCAGTTCATCACACATTGTTTCTGTTGCTGCTTCCTCCTCAGGGGGAGGACTCCTTCCGCTATTCCCCTGATGCAGCGTGGGGTCTCTCCCATGGGAGACAGTCCTCCATGAACTTCTCCAAGATGAGTCCTTCCCACGGGCTACAGTTCTTCATGAACTATTCCAGTGTGGGTCCTTTCCATGGGGCACAGTCCTTCAGGAACAGCCTGCTCCAGCATGGGTCCCCCATGGGGTCACTAGTCCTGCCAGCAAACCTGCTCCAGTGTGGGCTCCTCACTCCATGGGTCCACAGGTCCTGCCAGGAACCTGCTCCAGTGCAGGCTTCCCATGGATCCACAACCTCCTTCAGGAAGCCACCTGCTCCCTTGTGGACCTCCATGGGCTGCAGGGGGACAGCCTGCCTCACCATGGTCTTCACCACAGGCTGCGGGGCAATCTCTGCTCCAGCGTCTGGAGCACCTCCTCCCCCAGCTTCTTCACGGACCTTGGTGTCTGAATAGTTGTTTCTCTCATATATTCTCACTCTTCTCTGGTTGCAATTGCTCCTGCACAATAACTTTTTTTCCCCTTCTTAAAGATGTTATTATTGAGGTACTACTACCATTGCCAATTTGCTAGACTTGGCCAGCAGTGGGTCCATCTTGGAGCTGGCTGGCATTGGCTCTGTTGGACATAGGGGAAGCTTCTAGCAGCTACTCAGAGAAGCTATTCCTGTAGCCCCCCTGCTACCAAAACCTTGCCACACAAACCCAATACAGCCCGTGATACATCAGGACATCTAGGAAGGGAAGAGCAAGTCTAAACCAGAGCAAAAGGGGTTAGTCTACAGGAGCTGTTGTATTGGGTCTGACTGATACTGAGTTAACTTTCCTGATAGCAGCCCTCACAGTGCTGTGCTTTGTATTGGTAGCTACAAAGGTGTTGATAAAAAAACAATATTTTGGCTGCTGCTGAGCAGTGCTCCCACAGCATGGAGGCTGTCTCTCAAACCACCACCACCCCCAACAGCCAGTAGGCTGTGAGTGGGCAAGATCTTGGGAAGGGACATAGCCAGGACAGCCAACCCCAACTGACCAAAGTGCGACAGCCTAAAATGAACAGGAACAATGAACACTTTATTTACAGCAGGCTTAGTTTTATAGTCTTTTTTCTTCTGTCCATGTGCAAATATACCATATCTCATTGGTTATGTGTTCTTGTCCACGCATCCAAGCTCATCCTCTAATAGGCGGTCGGCATCCGTTCGCGTGCTGGCAGATCTCAAAATAACACCTGTTATTTACTGCAGTTCTTTCTTCTTTTCTGCTTTCTCATCCTTGATTGTTTACATTCTTTTACAACCTCACAGCTGTAACTGCTCAAATTCAAGGCCTAAGCTGTCTACAGCTCAGTCTTTTTCCCACACCAAAGGATTATCCATACCATGTG